ACACCATCGGATTTTTTGACCATGTCTTCGGACGAAAGCGACTCCCCTCCTCGCTCCACCGCACTCCGCGCGCCCACCCCTATCGCCCCTCCCGCGCATGATGGTGACGGTGACACAAACGGCAGTGCCACGCCTGAGCCATTGGTGCAATCACCTACACCCGCTCAAATGGTGCTGCCAGATCCATCGGATACACAGCAAACCCATTCCGATCCCTCTCCGCCCTCTGCTTCACCCCCTGCCACTACCATTTTGCCCGCTGCCATTTCACATCCTGTCGAACACAGTGAGCATGCAAACTCAGCCCCACTTGGCGAAGTCAGTGAGAGTGAAACACACAATACAGCGGGCGAACACAGTGAGAGTGAGCAAGATGTTCTTCTCAGCGATCCCGCTCCGCCCATCGCTGCCAACGTGCTGGATGCCCAGCGCAAGGTCCTGCTGAAGACATCTGGCCACAGGCAACTCCTCGCCTGCCCATTTGGGCTTTGCAAATGCAAGGGGCCCCGCCTTGACCGCAAAGCTTGGATCAATCATGTACTACGCGAGCACCCCTACGACGAGCAAGCCACTGATCTGGTCAAGCAGGTGATGGAGGCCAAATTGGTCACCCAGTGCAACAAGTGTCACCTCTTCTTCGAAGCTGCTGGTATCAGTCAACACCGCTCCCGATGTGGTGCCAATCTGAAGCGAGCGACCGAGGCGTTGTTTCATGCGGCTGGACACGACCTGCTTGAGATTATGCGTGGCGCTTGGCCCCAACAGTGTGTAGGGTCTCGCGTCAGTGTCTGTGAGCTGCTCAAGCTCGCCCGGCATCCACTGATGCAGCGCAGCCGCTACCCATCCAACGCCACCGAGACCAAGCTGATGGCTGCCACCTTGAGCCAGCTGTATTGGTCTGCCGTCCATTCGGACTATACCGCTGAAGAGCGAGAGATGTGCTGGGCTTTGATTTTGGCCTTGCCTAGCATGTTGTTGTCTGCTCCCTCGACCGCACTGTCTACGATTGACCTGCGCAATATGTTTCACGATCGTCTCCGTTGGCTTGTGACGGGGCAACTAGGTCGGGTCGCGGACGCCATGCGCAAGGCAGTCGCACGCAAGCAGAGCCGTCGAGGACAGCTGAACGCCGGCGCGGGCGCCCACCCGAACGACGCAGTCGACCAGAGCCTCAGGTCACTCGTCCGCGACCCGGACCTGGCGGACGAAGCCTGGGCAAACCACGTCACGAACCGTCTGAACCGAGGTCAGATTGCCAAAGCATTTGATGCCGACAAGGCTCGTGCCGTGATTGGTAATTCTGAGGTTCAGGCCGTGCGCGACCTCTTGGTACCG